CTGTCCAGCCCGGGGTGGAGGTGAGGGTGAGGGCACCGGGACCCGAGCTGGAGCTAGGCGGGGACCGGGCGATCATTAGGACTCTCCCAGTTCCAGGGAGGGAGATGGGAGACAAAAAAAAAAAAGCGAAAGCCTCGCTCTCTATCTTTCTAGTGTCCTTCATAGATTGTTTTCTTCTCTTAAAACTGACATGTCTAATTGGCAAGCGGTGCCATATCGTGTCCAGAGGTCTCCTGTGGAACATTTCTACAGCTGTCTCCTTCAACTAGACGCTTATTCATGTCGCCTTAATGAGAAACAAAACGATCTCTAATGAGCAATTACATAGCGACAGAATTGTTCCCATAACAAATTCTTGCGTGTGACAGAAACATCCTTTGTACCAGATATTCCGCATACTGTTACTGATTTCCCCCCCCCCCCCCCCACACACACACCTCCTTGAGGGGGCTAAACAAAAAGCAGGTTGTTAGATAGACACCTCTTCTAAAGGACTGACCACAGCCAGGGGAAGGGCTGCGTCTGAACAGAGGCTGCATTCAAAAAAGGAGCCATTAACCATCTTAAGTATGTAACGTAACATCCCATTATCCTTCATATTATCCCCTTGTCATTCCTACAACAAATACCTATTAATCTTCAGGATAAACAGTTTGCTATATTCACAAAGTTGTTTCAGGTCCATTGAGGAGGGGCTATTATCAAGCCTACAGAGATAGTCACCTACAGGATGGCCAAGCTCTCTGGAGGGAGCAACCCTCGCGCAAAAAGCCAGCCCGGATGGGGAGCAGAAACCTCCCATTCAAAGGCTGATGCACAAGGTGAAAAATCAGTTCAGTAACTCAAGCGCCTCTCCCCTGCAGCAGGTCTGCGTTGCTACTTGGCAGGCGCTTTTCTGCAGAAAGACATTGTTCTCAAGGCAAAATTTAAGAACAAAACTGGAAACCGATCCGCTAATCAGCCCCAACGCTTCCTTATAGCTCCTCCATGCATCTGTATTTATTTCCCTATCACTCCATATGCTTTTCTACTCATAGTCACATAATTTGTCAATTACAGGAACGCACAATATGATACAATTATGTTTACCTCGCAATCTGTCAGCGAGTTAACTTGTCATACTCCTACGGGAGGGGGGTTCTCCGTGCATTTGAATGGGAAAGTTAGAGCTCGCACTCCCTAGCTTCATGGCGAAGGGGTAAAGCGCTCCTGTCGACATGGTTGGCTTGGAGGGGGGCTGTAAAATCCGCTCCCTTCCAAACTCTCCTTTGAAAAGCCTTCAGGGACGCGATGTAGTGGATCCTGACAATTTTCTGGGCTGGGGGGAAATTCCCAGTGCAGGCAGCCAACCTTCCTGCTCGCTTCTCCTCTCAGGGTCTCTGTGAAGAGACCAGGTCGGCCAGGATGGGATGACACCTTTGGCCGGCCAGCCTGGCCAAGCCCAGATTCCCATCTCACTGGGATGTGCCTTACCTTGTGTGGGCTGCCCTGGCACGGAGGTCCCGGGGTACCATCCAGGTCGCGTGCCCCATGTCCCTGTCTGTCCATTCAGCATCCTTAGCTTGTCATACATCCCATCGGCACCCATCTGTTGCTTTTCGCTAGCCAGGTTGCGTAGAACTCTGTTTATTGACGA